GTGGGGAGCTGTGTTTTGTTCACAGCCAAATCCCCAGCCCTCGAACAGGGCTAGAGCAGGCACTCGGTAATAACCTGATGAATAAACAGCCACCCCCATTTCGCAGATGTGGAAATCGAGGCCCAGGCGGCCAAATGACCTGTGCTAAGGGCCAAACTAAGCAGGGCAGGAGTCCAGCCCAGGTGTGTTCAATAGATATCACAATAATCAAACCCTGGCTGACCACTTACTACACGCCAGGCCGTGTTTTAAACACTAGGGATTAACTCGTTTAATCCTCCTAACAACCCATTTCTGCCAATGCTATGATCATCCCCATGATAAAGTGAGCCCCAGAGAAGGCCCTTGCCCAAAGTCATGCACACAGTATGAGGCAGAGCCAGGTTTCAGAAGTTTCTAAAAGGCTTCATGTGGGGAACAGAGGTCCAAGTGTGGTGGCTCATGCCTGTGATCTCTGGGACGCCGAGGCGGGAGGATCGCTTGAGTTTAGGAATTGGAGACCAGCCTGTGCAAGAGGATCAGAAGTGGGAGAGGGAAAAGGGACGTGGTGCATGGGGACAAGGCTGGGGCCAGTGCTGCTTGCTTTGGAATTCAGGCTACAAATCGTTGAGAGGAAGAGTTGAAGGCTAGTGACTGATAATAGGTAAGAAGCCACTTGTCTCCCGGCTTCAGACCCAGGTCTGGCTGCCCCTGGACCCTTACCTCGGTGTCCAAAACCCTAAATCCTCTTCTGCCTGACATTCCAGTCACCCAGTCGCTAGTTCTTACCCACTGTATCTCAACATCACCCCCTCCTCTCAGACTTTGTCATCTCACACCTGACGTAAATGTCCTACTTGGTCGCCCTGTCCATTCTTAGCCCCACCAACCTTCCTTCCAATGGGCAGCCAGAGTGATCTTTTAAATGCAAACGAGACCACATCATCCTCTGCCTAATAGCAGTGCCCACTGTGCTCAGAATAAGCCCAAACACCTACTAGGCCCCGCGTGACCCAGCCCTGCCAATCAGCCCCGTTTGCCACCTCTCCCGGGGCTCCCGTGCCCCAGCCACACGGCCTCCTGTTGGGCCCTGACCCTGCCAAGCTTACTGCCCCCCCAGCCTTTGGACTATGCACTGCTGTCACCTGGGACCACCTTCCCTGCCAACGCACTCAGGTCTCAGCTCAAATGTCTCCTCCTCAGAGAGACCTCTCACTCCTCAACACAGAGCACTTGCCCCACCTGGTTCCTTCTCATAATATCCAGTGATTTCTTTTTCTCTTCTGAGCACTTATCACAATTTCTATATATATATTCATTTGTCTACTTGTCTGCCCTGGCACAGACCTCCAGCGCCTTTCCCTCTTACCAGAAATCTCCTGGGTGATTCCTCCTCATTAGAAGTACCCTCTTCCAGGAGGCGTCACTGGCGTCCCCAGGCTGGGTCACGTGCCTCCTCTGGGCTCCTACAGCATCTCCACCCCAGCGCCGGCCACTCTGCCTTATGCTTCCCTCATCCCGGCCATATCGCTCTGCCCGTGTCCCCATCCTACCCCGACCCCCGTGCCTGTACTTCTCTCATCACAGCTCCATCACTCTAGACTGTCGCTGTCCTGTGCTCTGTACTGGCAGCCCCATGAGGACAGGAGCAAGGGCTGTCTGGGCACTGCTGTATCCCTGCATCACCCACCACAGGGCCAGCCAGGCACCTTACTAACAACGGCCGAAGGGAGGAACAGAGAGGCCACCTCAACCAACACCCACTCACATCAGGGATTATTCCCTCTACAGTCTTCACTGCTCCCCAGATTATCTTGTTGACTTGGTTGCTTCCTAGTTAGGTGTCTCTTTTCCCAGTAAACTGTGAGCTGTGATATAACAGAGTGGAGCTATGCTGGTTTCTACTACACTGGCTATCCACATTCCAGCACAGGGCCTGGCACAAGCGGAGTTGAGGCAAGTTATGTTGAATGTATAAATGAAATGCATAGCAGACTTATGGAGATGAAGAATTCAAAGAGTGACACCAATTCAGAGACAGGAAAAGGGGGTTAATAGTACAATAAATACCGGTTCAAATCTTAAATGAGGGGTAAACGTGGCCCTGTCCGCTCACGGAGGGCCAGAAAGACAGTACTAAGGAGCGTGGGCTGCCGCCCGAGGGCACTGGGGAGCCACGGAAGGGTGGGGAGCCGGGGAGGGCCGGTCGCTAACTGCAAATGAATGAAAGTCGCGTTTCTCTTCACGTCACACAATATCCCGCCCCAAGTTGTTTGCCTCTAAAGGAATTTCCTAAAGACTACCCTCAACGCACCCGTACCCGGACCTGGCATCCCCGCACCGTGCCCACCTCGAAGCTCCAGATCCTCGATCTAGTGACCTCCGACCCGCAGTGACCTCGCCAACCGCCGCCGCCCCGCCCCGCCACGCTCCCCCCGGCCCGATCTCCTCCGCCGGCCACGTACGCCACTTACGCAGCCGGGGCGTCCCCGCCGCCGCCGCCAAACCTGCCGGGTGCATCCTTCGCTGCAGCCACCACCTCAGCAGAGGTTCGTAACACGCCCGCCCGGCTCCCGTAGCCACGCCCCTCCGGCCACGCGACAGCCAATGGGCGTCACGACTGCGCGGAAGCCACGCCTTCTCGCGTAGGCCAGGGCGAGTGGACGGTGCCTTACGTAAGAGGCGGGGGCTGGGGGGCGACTCATCCTAAGGCGGGAGTCAGGGCCCGAGGGTCAGGAGGGCGGGGCCGGGGACTATCTCAGAGTGGGCGGAGTAGGGCACGGTGGAAAACGTAGGCGTCGAGCGCAGAGGCCGATGGGAAATGGAGTTTTCTCCGGACAGGCGCTGAATTTGCGTGGCTGAGAGCCCCGGGGAGCCAGAGAAGGGCGTGGAGCAGGGGAGGAGAGATTCATTTAGTGTTCCCGAGGGGCTCATCGGAGTTGCGCGGGCTCTGACGCTTATACGATTTTGACAGTCCTTAGGAATTCAGGTGAATATTTTTCTTTTTTTTCATTCTTTTTCTTGACTAGACTCTATGGTTACATTAAGGTGAATATTTAGAATGAGAAAAGGACACCCAACAGGTTAGGTGAGAAGAACCAGGTATCCCTCTTGGAAGATATCTTTAGGCAGTTTCCCAGAAATTCATAAAAAGGTTCTCATGTTGCAACCTGGTTTGCTCTGTGCACGAAAAACACTCTACAACCCCCAGCAACTCACGGCACACAGGTGCACCCGCCTTGTGTGAGGAGCCCTTGACAACTAACCTTCCTCACTCTCGCTGCTCTGCCCCTCAGGCTCCTCCACTTATCCCAGGCAAAGATAATGGTGGAAGTGACTTCTGGGCAGCGATAAAACTCCGGAAGGATGTTAGCAAGTTACCTTATCTTTGTGGCTTCCATTTCCTCCTCTGAGACATTGTCTTTTCTGGGGACCTTGCGGGCTGCTCCTGGTTTCCCAGTGATGAGTCCTGGCTCAGTGGCCATTCTTTTTTGTGAGTGAGGTGCCCTCATCTCTCCTCATCCTCAGCCCTCCCTCTTGCGTCTAGATTCATCTCTTCCGTGAATATAATTTTTTATTAAGAAAGCAAGTATATTGGCTTCCTGCTGGCCTCATGTTCTCATCTTCCCAGTTGTGTGGCTACTCCATATTTTTGTTGTTGAGAGACAGGGTCTCATTCTGTTGCCCAGGCTGGAATGCAGTGTCATGATCATAGCTCACTGTAACCACAAACTCCTGGGCTCAAGAAATCCTCCTGCCTCGACCTCCCAAAGCACTGGGATCACAGGCATGAGCCTCTGCACCCAGGTCTACCCCATTTTTAAGCCTAAAATTTCTTATCTGTTTAATGAGAATTATATGAGAGGGACTGAGGACTCATGCAAGTTCTTGTGTCTACAGGGCCTGACATTTGCAAGCTTTTGGTACCTACTGTTACTGTTTTTATTATCAGGTGTCTTTTCCTGTGGATTATCAAGCCCAAGTTGGGCTCTGCTCCAAGATCTGCCAGTTTTATAAATAGAACCATCTGGGGTGTGTCTAAGTTGGGACCAAGCCCCACTCCTCTGCCAGTCAGAGAAGATTCCAGGCTGCCCTCCAGAAGGCTGCTAGGGGGGCATTGAGTTCCAGCTGGAGTCAGATGTGGAGAGACCTACAGGAGGGGCATGGAAGGAAAATCTTCCTCTTACATAGAGGCATATATTCAGGATTCTGCCAGGAAAAAAGACCCTGGCTCACTCTTCTTCACGCTTGGCGTCTCAGCTCAGATAGCCCCTTCCTCAGGGAGCTCTGCTGACTTCCCTAAGCTGGGTTAGTCGCCTCCTCTGCACTCTAATGGCCCTCTAGGCTTCCCCATGCCAGCCTTGGTCACTCAGCCTGTGCTTCCCTCCTCACAGCCCTGACCGCACAGGCCGTCACTCTGTTGATGTGCAAGTCTCCCCTATTAGACTCGGACCCTCATGAGGGCATAGGCCCAGAATTGTCTTGGTCACTGCTGTGTCCCCAGCATTACCCAGCAAGGAGTGGGGCACAAAATGGGTGCTGAGCAAAGATTCGGTGACTAGCTAAGGAGCCCCCCTCTGTCCATGAGGGCACAGGGGGACCCTTGACTCTGTGGTGCCCGCCATTCCCACTCCAGGGCACACGACTTGGCGAATGGAGGGAGAACCGGATGTCAGTTTGCTCCTCGCCCCCTCCGCCACGCACCCTGATGCAGCGCACAACGGCCCTGAGGATTTGGGGAGCGACTCCTGCATCTGCGAGCGGAGAGAGTTGGGATTCGCTCTGACCCAGGGGACCAGGACTCCCAGGTGGAAGAGAAGGAAGGAATGGAAGGAAGAGAATACCTCCACCTTTTCCATCCTGTTGGTCTCCTGGGTCCCGGAGCACTGGGCTCCGCCCTCTCCGCGCTAACACCTGGCGGTTGGGCGTGCCTCAGTTTCCCGGAGGCGGGGCGTTCCTCTATCCCCGCTCCTCCCCTTGTTCCTCTTCCTCTTTGGGGCATCTGTGGCCGCGCCTCGAGCACTCCCGGAACTGAGTCTAGGTGCCAGACCGTCCGGAGGCGGGGGCCACGTCAGCGGGGCCTCCCTGGGCTGTGCGGGGTCCGGCGGGCGCCATGCGACGGGGCGCGCTCCTGGCGGGCGCCCTGGTCGCCTACGCCGCGTACCTGGTGCTGGGCGCGCTGCTGGTGGCGCAGCTGGAGGGGCCGCAGGAAGCCAAGCTCCGAGCCGAGCTGGGGACGCTGCGGGAGCAGCTGCTGCAGCGCAGCCCGTGCGTGGCGCCCCCCGCCCTGGACGCCTTCGTGGAGCGGGTGCTGGCGGCCGGACGGCTGGGCCGCGTAGTGCTCGCCAACGCTTCGGGGTCGGCCAACGCCTCGGACCCCGCCTGGGACTTCGCTTCGGCTCTCTTCTTCGCCAGCACGCTGGTCACCACCGTGGGTACGTGAGCGCCGTCCCCGCTCTCCAAGCCAGCGAAGAGCCGGGACCCCCACTTCGCGCCCCCTGGGGGCTCGGGAGCCCTCACCAAATACCCGTATCCCAATCCCCTCTGGGCCTAGGTTACCCTCAACCCCGCCCCCCAGCGGGGACCCGGGACCCACAATCATGGTATCCGACCCCCTCAGGGAGCCCTGGTCAGAGTCCTTCCTCCTAAACAGGAAACACTCCCTGTTCCCCTGGGACTAGGGTCCCCCTTCAGTACCTTGCAGGGAGCATCTGGAACCCCATTCCTCAGTCCCCCTGGGGACCCAGGTCGCTCAGTCCCCTCTAGGCCTAGGACTGTCCTCACAGACCTCTAGCAAGGAGATCCGTGCTCCCTCTGGACCCGCCTTCAGCCACACCGGGACCCCTGCCCTTATCTCTAGGCCGGACTGCCATCCTTTCCAGCAAGGTCTCCTGACTCTCCAGACGTGTCCTTGAGAAACCCCACCCCAGCCTCCTCCTGACCCTGGCACACCAGGGAGGACCCCGAACCTCCAGACCTCTCGGGGCGCCATCTCTACAGACCTTCCTCCCAGTTAGAGATTCCTGGGCAAGGACCTGGAGCCCCCATCCCAGACTCCCACCCCACTGGACCTAGAACATTCTCTGGTGAGGGGCCCTGCCCTTCTCCACGGCAAGGACCACCCCTGTCCCTCCCTGGCCCTGTACTTCCGGGCAGGTAACCCTGACTCCAGACACTAGGCCACCCCATCTCGACATCCCCCCTGTATTGGGGAGCCACCAATGCAGGGCTTTCCTGCCAACAGGGCACCACTGTTCTCTCTGGACCTGGGATTCCCAGGTAAGAGCCCCAGCTGTGGATGTGTGGAAAGAACTCGCCCTGGAGGAGCCAAGACACCCTGGGAAATCCCTTTTGTTGCCGGGCTCTGCGGCTCCTACAGCCCCTCCTCAGCCCCCACACTTCCTCTTTGTCTCTTTGTTTGGGATTTGGAACCAGCAGGGGGCTGGGGCAGGACTAGCCCAGACTCCTAATCCCCGCTGCGGGCTGGCCGCACAGCAGTGGGAGGCGGCTTTTGCCTTTGGTATCCCATTCTGTGGACCAGCAAACCAAGGTCCCAGGTAGCAGAGCTGGAGGACTTGTCACTGGCTGGAATTAGCCGCCCTCCCTGGGGCTTGCTCTTCCCCAAGCTGCCCGGGCAGCCCGACCTGCTTCTGGGCTTCCCTGGGTCACATGAGCGCGTCCTCCCCCGTCTCCACCCAGATCCTGGCTTCTGAGAAGTCATTCCTGGCAGAACAGGTGGTATCCCCGCTCAGGGCCGCGCGTCTCTAGGCCTCAGTGTCCCCCCCCAACCTGTAAAGTGGGGATAATAACAGTCCTCACTTCACAGTAGCAGTAATACCTGAACGAGCACTTCGCACGTGCTATAACCAGGACAACAGCCTTGCGAGGCAGGTGCCGTTAGCGGCCCTATTTTTCCAGCCTTGCAAACTGAGGCCCAGATAATTTGGACAATTGCCCAGGGTCACATGGCTAGGAAAGTGCAGAGGGGAGACTTGAACCAAGGCCATTGGGCTCTTCGCCAACACAGCACGCTACTTGGCGTGAAGAAGGGTGATGTGTGCGTTGTGAAAGAAAAATTATTCTGACACTTGTTAAAAATGGAAAGTTATTGCAATCGAGGAGAGACTTTGCAAAGGCAGAGAGACTGAACTTAACTCTGAATCTCGCGAAGGCAGATGAAGATTTGTAGCTGAGGAGCAGAGTGAGTGGGTCAGGGCATGGAAAATTACCAGGAGGAAAGACATCAGGGTAGGGGGATTCCTGCTAAACTTGGCTTAACAATATTCTTGCTAAAGACAGGCCAGGGACTCAGATAGCAAGAGTGGAGGGTGAGGAATTCAGCTGTCAAGGGTGGGGAGATTCTTAGGATTCTTGCTCAAACTGAGCCGAGTCAAGAACAGGACTCAGGGAAGCCAGACTAAAGTTTGCTGAAGGAGAGAGTTTTTGCAGTGCTAATAATAACTGATTTTTTTTTTTTTTAGAAACAGAGTCTTGCTCTGTCACCTACGCTGGAGTTCAGTGGCATAGCTCACTGTAACCTCCAACTCCTGGGCTCAAGCGATCCTCTTGGCTCGGCCTCCTGAGTAGCTGGGACTACAGGCCCCCACCACCAGGCTGGGCTAATTTTTAAAATTTTTTCTAGAGACAGAGTCTCACCATGTTGCCCAGGCTAGCCTCAAACTCCTGGCCTCAAGTGATCCTCCTGCCTCAGCCTCCCAAAGTGCTGGGATTACAGGCATGAGCCACCTCGCCCAGCCATATTTATTGCGCCTCAGCTATCATTATCATTGCGGGTGGGGCCAGGAGTCCTGAATGTATCTGGAGAAATGGAAAACCAACTAAATGTCATTCAGAGAGACCTCTTCCCAGAGTGTCCCTCGTTTTGTCCTAGGCCCGAGTCTTGGCCCTGGAATTGGTGCAGACAGCCTTGCTGCAATCGAGGCAGGAGGGGGAGGATAGTCCTACCTGGAACGGGGTCTCGGCTGGCGGGGAAGGGGACAGTACAGTCACTGTCACTCTTCCCACACTGTTGCTAAGGGCTGTTCCCTGTCCTGACCTGGTAGGATTACTACCACGTTTGAGGAAAGGGTTATTGATGAGCCCATTTTTGCAGAGTAGAAAACTGAGGCTCAGAGAGGAACAGTCACCTGGCCAAAGTCATGCAGGGAATAAATGGCGAAACACTGTTTTGGACTCAGCTCTTTGAGGTAGTAAATTGAGGCTCACAGACCCTATTCTGTTCTAACTCTGTAATTTTTCCATTTATAAGGATTTCGTGTCATTTGCAAACCTGTCGTTTCAGCCAGGCTGCCGGAGTTTCTCCATTAAGACCCTCATATTAATGAGGGTTGGAATCATAAGTGATAACACCTCAAATTACAGATGCTTAGATAAGATGGAAATTTATTTCTTGCTCCCATCCAAGGTAGTCAGTCCAAGACTGAAATGGTGATACATGGTCAGAGACCCAGGCTCTTGCTTGGCAAAAACCTCACATTCCTCCATAACTTCTCTGTGCAGTTTCCATTCCCAAGGTCACCTAATGGTCCAAGATAGCTGCTCAATTCCAGCCTTCACATCTGTGTTCCAGCCAGCAGGAGGAGGGAGGAAGGAAGAAAGATGAGCCTCCTCTTCTTTTTAAGCACCCCTCCTGGAAGTCATTTGATTCTTTCATGTATACTTCACTGGCCAGAGATTAGTCACAGAGTCACACCTAGCTCCAAGGGAGGAGGGGATGTCCTTATTCCAGGTGGCCATGTGTCAGAATTTCCTTCCTTTTTAAGACTGAATAATATCCGATTGTGTGCATGTACCACATTTTGCTTATCCATTAGTCTGCAGATGGAAACTTGCGTTGCTTCCACATACTAGCTTTCCGTGAATAACGCTGCTATGAGCAAAGGTGTACAGGTATCTCTTCGAGACCCTGGTTTGGATTGTTTTGAGTATATAAAAACCAGGGGATCCTTTTTATGGAAAACAGGCACAGGTGAATGCCTGCTCACGTATGCAGTGTGTCCACACCTTATTGTAGATCACAGGGCTGGCTCTGCAGTCTTTGGGGCAAGACATTTAACTGTCAACATAAACCAGGTCCCCTGCTACCCTAGTCACATCTCTGAGTCTTTGCTTTGATTTATTTGGGAAATAAAAAGAGATTTTTAAAGTGCAGTTTGCCAAAGTGAGTCAGTCCCATCGAGACCTGAATTCCCCTTGATCATATTTCTGTTGGCAGAACTCCCGTCCACGCTGACCTTACTGTGTTCCCGTGGTCCTCTGGGAGCCCAGGAGGGCTTATCACACCCCCTTTAGAACAAACAGAGGCTCAGAGTCAGGTGACAGCCTGCGCCCTTCATTCATTATTTCAACAAGTATTGATCCAGCGCTCACATGACCAATGCCCACAGCAGTGACAAAATAGAGTCCCCAGCTTTCCTGGAACTGACACCCAGGAAAAGGGATGGAGAGGTAACCAAACAAGTAAACCATATAGTATGCCGGAAGGTGTTAAGTGCTATGGAAAAAAAAGAGTTGGGTAAGAGAATGTTAACAATTTCAAATAAGGTGGTGAGGGAAGCCTCACCGAGAAGGTGACATTTGGGCAAAGACCTGCAGGAGAGGAGAGAAGGGAACATGTAGATACCAGAGGGAAGAACGTTCTGCAGGGCAAGAACAGCCCATGCAAAGGCCCTGGGGTGGCAGCAGGCTGCCCTGGTGGCCCATGTGGGGCCTTTTGCCGGAGTGAGATGGGGCCACAGGAGGGCTCTAAGCAGCTGGGGACATGACTTAAGTCAGGTGGTCACAGGATCTCTGTTCTGGCTGAACAGACTGGGGGCTGGGGTCGGGGGAAGAGGGTGACTGGGACGAGGCTGCAAGACATTTAACTGTGAGCGTAAGGCAGGCCCTCACCTGCGCTGGACAGGGCGGGGATGGGGCTGTGGGGCTGGGTGGAGAAGTAGGTGGGCTCTGGATCCATTTGCGGTTGAGACGTGAGTCTTCCCCGACAGACGGAACGTGCGTGAGTGGAGGGTGGAGGGTCGAGGATGAAAGCGAGGCTCTCGGGCTGCGCAGCGGGAGGACGGCGGTGCGCTCGAGAACGTGGGAGGGGTAGGTTTGGGGATGAAGGCGGGTCTCGGTTTAGGGCACCCGCACACCCTCAGTGGCGGCGGCCAGCATCTCCCCTGCGCTCCACAGGCTACGGGTACACGACGCCGCTGACCGACGCGGGCAAGGCCTTCTCCATCGCCTTCGCGCTCCTGGGCGTGCCGACCACCATGCTGCTGCTCACCGCCTCGGCCCAGCGCCTGTCGCTGCTGCTCGCGCACGCGCCCCTGTCCTGGCTGAGCGCGCGCTGGGGCTGGGAGCGCCGGCGCGCCGCCCGCTGGCACGTGCTGGCCCTGCTGGGGCTCACAGTGGTCGTCTGCTTCCTGGTGCCCGCCGCCATCTTCGCCCACCTCGAGGAGGCCTGGAGCTTCCTGGATGCTTTCTACTTCTGCTTCATCTCCCTGTCCACCATCGGCCTGGGCGACTACGTGCCCGGCGAGGCCCCCGGCCAGCCCTACCGGGCCCTCTACAAGGTGCTGGTCACAGGTGAGCCGGGTGCCTGAGGGCGGGGCTTGAGGAGGCCGTGGCCCTGTCGCGGCCATACCCTGGGAGTGGGGGGTCCCAAAGGGGCCCTGCCCTGAGGATCCGAGCCCCGCGTCGGCTCACCGCCCTGCGCCGTCTCTGCAGCCTACCTCTTCCTGGGCCTGGTCGCCATGGTGCTGCTGCTGCAGACTTTCCGCCGCGCGTCCGACCTCCACGGCCTCACAGCGCTCATCCTGCCGCCCGCTCCGTGCCCCGCCGCCGTCCCCGAGGATGAGGACGATCGGGCGGACATTCTGGGCCCCCAGCCGGAGTCGGGGTCGCGCCGGCAGCTGTCTGCCAGCTCCCACGCCGACTACGCCTCCATCCCCAGGTAGCGCGGCCGGCTGGACCTGGCCTGGGACCGAGGGCCCCGGTGACTGGAGCTGACCCTGCAGGAACGTCCAGGTGCACAGGCAGGTGTTCCAGAGGCGCGGCCACCAACTGTCCGTCCTGTGTTTCACAGCCCGGTGGGGACGCGGAGGCCGTCGCGCCCTGTTTCTGTGTCCCGGGCCGCACTGGGCACCAGCGTAACCTCGTTCTCCTCCCCTCTCTCTCATTTTCCGTCACTCTCTGAGCCTCTGGCTCTCTCGCCTTCTCTGTCTGTCCCTCTTGCTGTCTCCCTGTTCCTCATTCTCTCACACGTTCCGCCCGTCTCTCTCTCTCAGCCACGCGTCACTTGCCGATTCTGCCAGGCTCTGGGCTCGGACCTCATTTCGGGCACTAGATCAGTCGCTACGTCTTGGACAAGTGACTTCCCCTCCCTGAGCCTTGAGTTCCTCTGCTGTCACGTGGAAAGAATATACTCACTCATCCCCAAATCCCTCCTTTTTGCTGGCCCCGTGTGAGACAGCGCTAGGGACACAGCAGTGGTGGAGATGGCCCTGGGCCCTCCTCCCATGGGGCTAGCAGTCCAGTGACAGAGACAGACCTGTCCCCAGACAATGACAGCCCAAAATGAGCAGGACTTCAAATGGGGAGGCAGAGTGGTCAGGGCTGAGGTGGGGGAAGCACAAGGAATGTGCCCAGTCCAGCCTGGAAGGTCAGGGAGGGCTTCCTGGAGGAAGGGACAACTGAACTACGATCTGAAATCTAAAGAGTAGTCAGCGGAAGAAGTCGTACCTGATTCGTTTTTCTCAAGCGTCTCCAGAGAGCAGGACCCGTTCGAGGAGCCCTGGGGTAGGCCTGGGTGATAGAATCTTCCTGAGCAGCCTGGCAGGCAGGAAACTGACATGCGATGCCAGCCCAGATCTGAGTGGCACAGGAGGCGCTGCTCTTAGCCACGACACTGTTGTGACAGGTGTCCCCTTTTACTGAGCACTAATTGCGCGTCTGCACTGGGCTCTGGATTGGGATGTGAGGCCAACCCAGCCACATCCGCCTGTGTCCCTGGGCAGCCACTCTACCTCTCTGATTCCTCTCCTCACCTGTGAAGTGGCGATCGTAATAGTGCTCCGTCCGAAGACGATTCACAGAGCCTGCCGCGTCCTGCTGTGGTGCTTTCTGCGGCCAAGCCCTGTTCCGGGTACTTTACCCATGCGGGAGAGGATATTAATCCTCCCCTTTCCACAGATGGAGAAACTGAGGCACAGAGAAGGGAGGTCCCCTGTCTTAGCCACAGAGCGAGGAAATGAATGACTTTGTTTGATCTCCCAGGATGGGACGTCAGTGTGAGCCTCACTCCCCGGGCTGAGCTCCTCGCTGCCACGCTCTGGGGAGGCGACACAGGGATGGGGCAGGTGAGCCGCAGCTGGAGGGGAGACGAGTAGAAAAGGCGTGGGGAGGGCACACGCCAGGCGGAGGGGACCGTGTGCAAAGCCGGGAGGTGGGAAGCTTGTTGGACATCAGCCTGTGGCAGGCAGTTTACGACGGGAGAATGGAATGGAAGCGGGTAGGAGGGCGCAGGGGTGGACATGGGTACATCTTAGTGTCCTTAAATGACAAGCTTGGGAACGTGGCCTCTTTCCTGAGGGCACTAGAGAGCCATGGAAGGGTTTTGAAGAGAGCGTCATGGTCAGGTTCGACCCCCCAGTTACCATGTGGAGATGGACCAGAGCGGGAGGCCGCAGCAGGAGCAAAGCAGGAGGTGACAGGGCTGGGCAGGGCCATGGGAGGGGAGCGAGGCGGGTGCAAGGATTCATGGGAGCCGAGTGGACAGGCCACAGGCCTTAAGACTGGGGAGGGACGAGGAATGGTCAGTTGTCCCTGAAATGGAGACCTGGGAGGAAGAGCAGTTCTGAGGGGAGACCTGAAGCTAGTTTAGAATATGGTGGGTATGAGGGGCTAAGGGGACACCCAGGGGGAGGTACCGAGAGTTCTCAGGCTCCCCAGGGCTGGGGCTCAGGGGGGTGGTTAAGGCTGGAGACTGAGATGAAGAAACTGAGGCCATGAGGGTAGGTGTGGCAGCCCTGGGAGGGAGTGACGAGAGACCAGCCATGACTCATGAGCCCGAGCAAACTTGTATGTTTATATTATATCAGGAGAGATTTTGGCTGCAGGTAGTAAAATCATGACTGGCCCAGGCTGAAACAATAAGATTATTGTTACACTGTACATCACTAGAGTAAGGGAGCACTCTGGGAGTGACACTATCCACAGTTATAAGGAGGGCTTGTGACCCCAGGTTCTCTCTGTCTCTGCTCTGCCACCCTCAATGAAGGCTTGGCTCCCATGTGAGCTCCCCTCATAGTCCCAGAGTGGCTGCCACAGGTCCAGGCATCACAACCAGACATGATAATTTCTAGTGTAAGCAGTGATGCTTCAACCAATGTCCTGATACCCGAGAAAAGGGCTTACAAAGGAGGCAGAAAAGGAGTGGGAGAGGAATAGAAAACCAGGAGGGTGAGAATATTGGAAAGAGAAGAGAGAATTTTATGGAGGGAGAACTCAACATTGTCAAATCATGCTAAAAAGTCACACAAGATTTTTTTTAAAGACTGATCAAACAAGATTATTTTAATAACCGTGATAGAAAATACATATATTGGATTTATGTGTCGGGCACTGTTCCAAGCCCTTGGATACAGTCTGCACATTTTACAGACGAGGAAAGGAGACCCAGAGATGTTAAATACCTTGCCCAAGGTCGCACAGAAGGTGTAAAATTGGGATTTGAACAAGGTTTTGATTGGCCACCTTTTCGCACGGGAGCTCAGAAATATTTGCTGTCTAGCTCTTTCTCAACCTCGCAGCCTTGTTTACCAAGGTCACTGTCAACCTTGTGTTGCTAAAGTCAGCATGGGGTGGGGAGGCCGTCGCTTCCTCCCCCTCAGTCCCCAGGTATTTGTCGTCTTCTTGAGAGAGGCGCCTGTGCGATCTGTCCTCAGCCCCTCATTGCTTTTCCTTCCAAATTCCTCCAGAAAAAGAAACCAGGGCCTTTTCAGTTCAAGACATTAAGAAAAAAAAAGTACAGGCTAAAAACCTCGACAGGTACAAAAGAGCGTACAGTCAAAAGTAAGTCTTTGTCCTACACTCGGACTGTGTTGACGGATGTCTCAGGCCCCCTTGAAGGCATATTCCATGTGAGTACCAGCAACGTGCACGTGTGTGTGATTTATTTTTCACTCTACGCAAGTGGCACCTAGTAGGGTGAGGTGGTTATGATGGCAGACTCTGGAGGCAGAGTCCCTGGGTATAAATCTGAACTCTGTCACTCCCCAGCTATGTGGCTCTGGGCAAGTGATTTCACCTCCCTGGGCCTCAGTTTGTTCATCTGTAAATGGGATGAGAGATGACAACGACACCTACCTCATGGACTCGTTGGAGAAGCAAGCACCTTACGGACCCACGAAGCCCTTAAAACAGTGTCTGGCACTGAATAAAATATTGGCCAGTTATTACTCTCACTTCTGCACCTTGCTTTTTTCACCAACGCCATGCGATTCAGAGATCATTCCAGAGACACACAAGTAGGTCTCGTATCAGTTTTATACCTGCAGTGCCTCATCTAGGCCACATGTCCCATGAATCATCTCAGCATCCCCTGCTGATGGACACGGGCGTGTTTCCCAGTCTTTTGCTGGTGAAACCGTGCCACAGTGCACGCCTTGTACGTCAAGGTCTAACAAAGGCACCTCCCCCTGGCGGGGCTGTACTCCTGAGCTGGGGGTGCAAGGAGACCCTCGTTACTCTGACTCTGTCTGGTGAGTCTGGAAGGGGTCAGGTACACAGCTGCTGAGCCTGGCTTGTGGGGCGGCCTTGGCTGGGAAGGATAGACTTCCATCAGCTGTTCACATAAGAACACCTGTTCTGTGCCGTACTGGACAGGGCTGGGGCACAGCGGTGTCACAGAAAGCCCTGGGCCCTGCCCGCATGGAGCCCGTGATCCAGTGGGAAAGAAAGACTCATTCCCAGCCAGTTGTGGCTTAGAGCGGTCAAGGGGTGGGACAGGAGCTGGTCACGTATCACAAACAAGACCTGAAGGAATGAAAGTAGTCAGCCCAGTGACAAAGCAGTGTTGCAGAGTGTGCACATGTCTGGAGAAGATACCATGTCTGATCAAGGATGTTCGAACCACTCTGTGTAACTCAGCTGTGCACTGCGGAGGCCTATGGGGAGGGGGAAGAAGATGGGCGGGATAGAAGGACAGGGATGAGATTATGCAGGGCTCTGGAAACCAACTCAGGGAGTCTGGATGTTTTCCTGAGATCCTGGGGAGTCATGGGAGGTTTTAGAGCACGCTCAACGTGCAGTACCCAGACCATCAGTATCAGCATCCCCTGGAAACTGGGGATGGGCTAGAAATTCTCTGGCCCCACCCCAGATCTACTGAATTAAAACTCTGGGGGTGGAGCCCACCAACCTGGCTTAACTAGCTAGCCTTTTAGGGTAGTCTAATGCATGCTCAAGTTTGAAAACCACTGGGTTAAAAGTCAGCTTTGCAGTTCATCAAAAGGTCATGGACTGGCCAGGCATGGTGGCTCATGCCTGTAATGCTAGCACTCTGGGAGGCCAAGGCAGGAGGATGGCTTGAGGTCAGAAGTTCAAGACCAGCCTGAGCAAGAGCGAAACCCTGTCTCTATTTTAAAGAAAAAAAATACACATCTACTTTTATATCTTTATATCTTCCACTTCCACCAAGAAACTGAATATGACACATAGCTTATAACCCCTTATTTGTCCTTCCAACAGCTTTTAACTGCCTTGGCCTAGAAGTGACATACATCACTTCTATTCATGGCCCATCAATCAGAACTAGTCACATGGCTCCAGCCTAAGTGAAGGGAGCTAGGAAATGAGTGGGAGCACCTGGATACTTCATGAATCCTAACATCCCTACCACACCACCACCATCAACTACTATGTATACCAGGGCTGTCCGGAAAGTATCCAGCCATGTAACAATTCTCGTTATATTAACAATGGCTGGATGTTTTCAGGACAGTCCTCGTGTGTCTGTGCATAGTGCTTCTGAGTTCACACTTTTTGTTCTATTGGTCTATATGTCTATCCTTATCCTACAACTGTACTATATTTATTACCATACCTTTAAAATAAGTCCACATATTTTGCACAACATGTCTTTCCAATTTGTTATTCTTCAAGATTATCTCGCCTATACGTAGATCTTAGCACTTACATAAGTTTTTAAAATTAGGTGGACAAGTTTCACGGAAACACTTGTTAAATTTTAATTGATCATGAATCGAGTCACTGAATCATTCTGGGGAGAACTGACTTTGTTATGATACTGAGTTTTACAGTTTAAGAGTACAAATATCTTACTAATTTCTTTTAATAATTCTATAACTTTCTCCATAGAG